TTTGTAAAACGGAATCAACTCCAATAAAAATAAAATATTTGTATTTTCTCCATCACTTTAACTTTAGAATTTATTCGCTTCATTTTTACAAAATATAAATTAGCCCACTGTTTCAGTAAGTCCTTTATATACGTTAAATATATTTTTTTACATGTATTACATTTTATATTTTTTAATTTTTAAATTATTAATTTTTTTGCCAAGTATGCTCATTGATCATCAATTGCTATAGTATCATTTCTCATTTGTTATCAGCCAACATGCATAAAGCGTGTTCTACCAGGTATGACGGCCACCCAACAGCGCAGATATGCCAGTACATTGGATGCAGATATAGTGGTAATTGGGTCTGGTCCTGGTGGATATGTAGCAGCAATTAAAGCTGCACAATTGGGCATGAAGACCGTGTGTGTAGAGAAGGACTCAACTCTGGGAGGCACGTGTCTTAATGTTGGATGCATTCCATCAAAATCACTTTTAAACAATTCACATTATTATCACATGGCACATACCGGGGATTTAGCAAGTCGTGGAGTTGTTGGTAAGTAAGACTCATTTTGAGTTAGGCTCATTTTTACCAATGTAAATTAAGTTTAATCTTGGTTTCATCTCAATCTTGATTTACTTTTTAATTTACTCTTAATTTATTCTTTTTCTAATTCTTAGAACTAGAAGAACGTAAAAAGTAAATTAAACCAAGATTAAAGTTAATCTACATTAAAAGAAATAAACATTAAACAAATCGTTTATGAAAAATTAAATGATAATGGATTATTCTTTGCAGTATCAAATGTTCAATTGGATCTCAAAAAACTTATGGAACAGAAAACAAATGTAGTCAAAGCTTTAACCAGTGGTATAGCAGGTTTGTTTAAAAAGAACAAAGTCGAGTGGGTTAAAGGTCATGGAAAAATCACAGGCAAAAACCAGGTTACTGCTCTAAAACCTGACGGATCGGTGGAATCGACTATCAACACAAAGAATATTCTGATAGCGACCGGAAGTGAAGTTACGCCTTTCGCCGGCATTGAAATCGACGAGAAACAAATCGTGTCCTCGACGGGTGCACTCTCGCTCAGTGAAGTTCCCAAGAGGCTTATTGTTATCGGAGCTGGTGTCATTGGATTGGAATTAGGCTCAGTTTGGCAGAGGTAAAGCGTTAAATTTACAATAAAAGTATCCTTCAATATAGAAAAAGATGATTATTCATTCTCGCTAAAATAATTATTTCTACAGACTGGGTTCCGATGTAACGGCCGTTGAATTCATGCCGACGATCGGTGGTATGGGTATTGATGGAGAAGTTAGTAAAACCATGCAGAAGGTACTTGCGAAACAAGGACTGAAGTTTAAACTGGGAACGAAAGTCATGGCTGCTAACAAGCGTGGCAATGAGATCTCAGTTTCCGTCGAGGATGCGAAAGACTCCAGCAAAAAGGAGGACTTGGCGTGCGACGTGTTGCTAGTGTGTGTCGGCAGAAGGCCGTACACACAAAACTTAGGTCTGGAGGATATGGGCATCGAAAGGGACGAGAAAGGAAGGATACCCGTGAACAATCGATTCCAGACAGTAGTGCCTAGGTAAACTACAAAATTTCAATGAGAAATTAAATGTCATTTTGCAATTTTAATTTCCTCCAATATACATACACCTGCAACAAAATATTGACTCCAAATAACTGTTTTCATAATTAAATTCGTAGTATTTATGCTATTGGTGACTGCATTCACGGACCAATGTTGGCTCACAAGGCTGAGGACGAAGGTATAATTACAGTGGAGGGTATTGCCGGAGGTAATTTTCATTTGCATTTTAAGTATTATATATTAGCTCATCTTATTTTAAGCCAAAGATAAAGAAAAATCAAAAAGTAAAATGAATTTATTCTTCACGTACAATACACGTCAGCAAGCTCTATACAACATTATTTCTCAATTACTTAGCTTTGTAATATATTTTCTGTAACGATCCATAAGTCATTTAGTATGCGAAGAAGGTTTATCTGTCCATGAAACCACATCGTTTCCTAAATTCTAGATCAATAAAAATTAAACTTTTCACATTCAGTTTATTGTCCCCTATTTCTAATTTGTTTAGACCATTGAAGAAAGTCCTACGTGACTAGTGACAAATTCCAATTGTATTAGAGTTTAAGAAGCAATACACGTGGTTTTAGTTCTGTTTCACAAGCGAAATCAGAAAACTTATGACACAAAATGTGTTGCAAAGCTGAATTAGCTAAACGATTATATTGAGAAATAACGGTATATATATTTTGCTAACATATATGAGAAGAATGAATAAATTCGCTCTACTTTTTAATTTCCCCTCATACAAATAAAAATATGAATTTGTTCCCTTTTTTTTTGTTCGATATGATTAAATGTGGATTATTTCGTAATGTGTAGGTGCGGTTCACATCGACTATAACTGCGTACCGAGCGTTATATATACGCATCCGGAAGTAGGTTGGGTCGGCAAGACGGAAGAAGATCTAAAGAAGGAAGGCATCGATTATAAGGTCGGTAAGTTCCCGTTCATGGCGAATTCCCGAGCGAAAACAAATCTCGAGGCGGACGGCTTCGCCAAGGTACTCGCCGATAGCAACACAGACAAGATCCTGGGCGTACACATGATCGGACCGGCTGCGGGAGAGCTTATCAACGAAGCGGTTCTTGCGATGGAGTATGGCGCCAGTGCGGAAGACGTTGCCCGCGTATGCCATGCACATCCGGTAAGAATTTAATGTTAATTTTATTTTACATTACAACCTCTTCGCGATTTGCACATATGATGGGATGATCCTTGTACAATTAATCATCTTGATAACTAAATATTATATATTTAGAAACTTAATTTTGTGCAAAAGAATGAGTAAAAAATAATTCTTAATATTTTTTAACAAATCATGTTACTCATTATACTTGACTGTTATTTCTTGCTGAAATTGACTCTAAGGCCAGTATTCATAATCAGATCTTATATTCAAAACCGTTTTAAGTACAGTCTTAAGAAGTCACGAACTAATCAGAAGGCCAGTTAACCATTAGCGTTTTAAGACATTACTTAAGACAGTCTTGAAATAAGAATGGACTATGAATACCATCCTAAGTACTTGAACTGAGAGGAAATTTAAATAGAATTATTTTATCAGAATTACTTTATCAGTGATTTATATTTCTTTTCTTTCTTTCAGACATGCGCTGAGGCGCTCAGAGAAGCTCATCTAGCAGCCTATTTCGGCAAGCCCATCAACTTTTAAGATCTTATAGAGAATAAGTGAATTGCACTTGTTAGTTCATATTGTGAATGCGTTCAGCATTAAATATGCCTGTCTTCAAACTTTACTGAAATTAAATAACTTGATCATGGACAGACATGTTTAAGCTTAACATGTATGATTTACGCGGCTCTTTTGACTTCACATCGTAGCCTGGATCTAGTCTACGTATCAACGTACATCGCGCGAACCATAGCGCGTCATATAAGGGATTACAATTGTAAATAAAAGCTAGAAGCCATTACGCGGAGGTGTAGCTTTATCTTTGCCACGTGATTATTTGTATTTATTACGAATAAATAAAAAAAATGCGACATTACAATCTCTCGGATTCTTCGAATCCAAAAGGAGATAAAGAGATACAAATGTAAATATAACCTAGAGATAAAGAGAATATATGAAATCAAAACGTACAGCAAAAAAATTCCTAAATAAATTATTTTATAGAAAAGAAAGGATTCTCACGTATTATAGAAGAAAGTAAATTATTTTTTTTTTTTTTTAATTTTATCGAGAGTTATAAATTTTAATTCAAGGTAATCTTTTATATATTTTCAAAAAACAATAGAATATTTATTTATAATTGCAATCGTAAATATATTTTGCATTTTTTATAAAAATATAAAAAATAACACGATTCGATTATATCGTTCCAACGTTGTTTTTGTTTTCTTGAGATTTATTTGTATTGCTTGAAATCCCTAAAAATTTTCGTACTTAAAATATAAATATATATATTCATTGCATTGAAGAGAGAAAGAGAACAAAGAGTTATAAAAGTGCAAGTAATGCTAACAGACCTAAGGCCTGCCATCGATGTATAATCAAAGTGAAGAAAACTTTCAACAGTTGTAAAATAAACGTTTTGTTAAACACAGCCATTGCCATATTCTGTGTGTGCAGGAGCACCGATAAGATGTTATTAAAAATTTGCGTTCAGCAGAGAAAAACTATTGATTCTTCAATGTGATTGATTTCTACTTAGATTCACACACACACACACACACACACAGCAAAGAGAACTAAAGGCAATAATCAGTCATATTAAAGAATCATTGAGCACTCGCTGATTAATTTTCTCTGCTGAACGTAACCATTCTTACAGAAGTTGGCATTTTCATCATGTGCCATAATTTACTTACTCAAATTTAATGAGTGTCATGAAGATGAAACTTCTATCTGCTCCTCAGGCAGTATCGTATTCATCGCAATTGGTGTAATTGCCGATTTATCAAGATCTGAAAGAGTAAACAAATTATTAATATATTGTATAATGTGGCACGATAACTAATAAAAAAATCATATATAATAATAGTAATAATACATTTGATTACTGAAGAAGCTAGTACCTTCGCTAATTGATGATTCTAAATTCAGTGTGGGTACTGCATCAGATTTTAATTTTCTTTTCTGTGGCGGTGAGTAGCCTAAAAGAGGTCGCATCCACGAAGACTCTTTGTACGCTACTGCATCAAAATGGGCGGAACAGATGCGTCCTACATATATAAAATGTGTTATTTTCATTGTACGAGTCTGTGATGTGTGTGAGTAACATAAGCAAGGATATATTAGTTTTATACAAAGATACCATTTTTAACGTCGACATTTTCTTTTCCACACGCTTCTTTCCACTTTAACATTAACGCTTTCTCTTTTGGGAAGCGATAAAAATGTACATTTCTGAATTCTTTTTTTCGATGATCATTTTTACATGTTTTTACTTGACAAGTACTCATTTTGGTCTCTCGAGCTGTTCTTCGAAATTGTTAAAAATTACCGCCGTGCAAATGTTTAAATTTGCCGCATTTGGATAGTCCGTTTCTTTATTCTCGTGCGTGTCTATCCGTGAAACTGCATACAGTGCACACAACACACCATATCCCTTCCACCATGATTGAGACTGATTCAGCTCGAATCCACCACGCTCCAATCGGCGTCTCGTTCAACTACGCTCGTTTTGTTTGGTCTTGTTGTGAAGTGGATGGATCTTAGCTTCTCAATTGCGACGAATTAATTTCCTTCGGTAAATACCGAAGAGCTCGAGAGCCGCGGGACTTTATCACTTCTTGAAGTGAGTTAGGTAAATGTTAAATTCCTTTCAGTTATTCTTAGCCTAATCTTCCTGAATCCTGATTCATCTCTACGATAGCAGGATTCCAGAGGCCAAATTAAAATTTTATTCCGGGAAAGAATATGAGGTATGTATCAGTATTTCTCTTCAACACACACAAAACGTAAATATATCTGTTCTCGTAGACGCTTATGAACCTTTCATCGCATAGATAACCTCAACATGAGTTATAACAAGAAGGTGGCGTACTTCTACAACCCGGAGGTGGGTAACTTCCACTATGGACCGGGTCATCCCATGAAGCCACATCGGTTGTCCGTGATTCACAGCCTTGTACTTAACTATGGTCTCCACAGGAAGATGCAAATTTATCGGCCATATCGCGCCAGTACCCACGACATGTGTCGCTTCCATTCGGAGGACTACGTGGAGTTCTTGCAGCGGGTCACGCCGCAGAATCTACAAGGATATACCAAGTACCTGAGTCATTTCAATGTGGGAGATGATTGTCCCGTGTTCGATGGCCTCTTTGATTTTTGCTCCATGTACACCGGCGCTTCATTAGACGGTGCCACCAAGTTGAACAATAATTGCTGCGACATTGCTGTCAACTGGAGCGGTGGTCTGCATCATGCCAAGAAATTCGAAGCGTCCGGCTTCTGTTATATTAATGATATCGTAATTGCTATATTGGAATTGCTTAAGTACCGCGCCCGCGTGTTGTACATTGACATTGATGTACATCACGGAGATGGCGTGCAGGAAGCTTTCTATTTAACTGATCGTGTCATGACCGTGTCATTTCACAAGTATGGCAATTACTTCTTCCCTGGCACCGGCGATATGTATGAGATTGGTGCTGAAAGCGGCCGTTATTATTCTGTAAATGTGCCATTAAAAGAAGGAATTGACGATACGTCATACATTCAGGTTTTCAAGCCTGTCATATCACATGTGATGGAGTTCTTTCAGCCGACGGCGATAGTGCTTCAGTGTGGTGCCGATTCTCTTGCAAACGACCGACTCGGCTGCTTCAGTCTCAGCACAAAAGGGCATGGCGAGTGTGTTAAATTTGTGAGGGACTTAAATGTACCGTTATTGACTGTTGGTGGCGGTGGTTACACATTACGAAATGTTGCTAGATGCTGGACATACGAAACGTCTCTGCTTGTAGACGAACAAATCAGCAATGAGCTCCCATACACAGAGTACTTGGAGTATTTCGCACCAGACTTCACTCTACATCCCGAGGTCGTAACTAGACAGGACAACGCTAACAGTAAGCAGTATCTTGAAGCAATCACAAGACACGTGTGTGACAATCTCAAAATGATTCAACATTCGCCGAGCGTCCAGATGCAGGATGTTCCGTGTGATGCGTTACCACCCGAAGAGGAAAGGCAACCAGAACCGGATCCGGACTCTCGACAGAATCCACAGGACACAGACAAAATTGTCGAACCAGCGAACGAGTATTACGCCGGCGACAAAGATCAAGATAAGATGGATACGAACGATTCGTGATAGAGACAGTATTATAGTTTACAAGGACGTGCAAATGATTTCTCAATCCTTCCTATAAAGTTCAATATAGATCTAGCAGAATCCAGATTTGGCAATTTATTAATTTCATAATTCAGCAAACAAAGAAACTGACGAGATTATATCTTTTCTATGACTGATTCCAAGACAATAGATACTATTGTGCAATTATTGAACTTTTATTTTCGAAACTATCGATGTATAAAACAGAACGAACTTTAATATAAGGATGCGCGATACGCGTATCGATATGTTAAAAATTTAGAAATCGATCTTTTGATTTTTTTTTCAAAAAGATCGATTTAAAATAACCGTAAAGACAATTTTCAATATTTTGCAAAAATATCGATTTTTTTACACATTGATATGCATATCGACATACGTATCGCACACCCCTAATGTATACTTTTTAAGTATGACACAAAAGTGTAAATATGAAAATTGTACAGACTGATTTGTTTATACTAATGACAAAACAAACATAATTTTACTCAAATAAATTTTGCAAAGACTTGGAACAAATTTGTAAAATACGCCTATATTTTAGATAATTAAGTCGTGTTTATCTGATATTCAGAAAAGGAAAAATTTCTTCATTAAAGAAAATATGCGATACGATTACTCAGGATACCTGGATCTTAAATATCCATTAGGCAAGTTTATTGTTTTACATCAGACAGCAATATCCGTATTGTCTACAATGGTACAACAACGACGGTGAGGACGATATTAATAGCGATAATAGTATAATAATAGTAATAGCAATAACGATAACGTCTGTATCTCTGTCTCGGGGCTATCTTGCTATATCACAGAGAACTTAATCTTCGCACGACATAATTGTTCCTTCTAGAGCTCTTCTTTTTTCCTTAATAAGAGTAGAAACGTAAAACGATTCACTCGAGGGTATGGGGTAGGGGAGGGGACAGACCTCTCCGCTTGGTAAGAGCACTAAATGCGACTAATTGCAATAAATTAGATCTCTTAAATTAAGGCGCTTTGTTCTGTACATTCGTATTTTGTAAACTCTACAAAAAGTCTCTCGAAAAATAATACACGTACAAAAATATTCGGTACGAGAGGAACGCAAATACTCGATTTCCGATTTATTTTTTGCAAGAACGGTGCAAAAGACTACGATGTAGAGGCAATGCGTGTGTACTCTTCGTGAACGCATAACGCCGAGCTTTACCTTTGAGGAACACCACGTGCGATTATTCGCGACTATTTTTGTCTGCAGAAGGCTACTCGCGAAGTTTACTTGGCTCCGCTTTCTCATTCGACATACGAAGAATTCTTTCCAAATTCGCTTATGCTCTACAAAGCGCATACGCCACGTATGCATGTGTACGTGTACATATATATGCATATATATATAAAAGTTTTCAGTCTCATAGTAACGGCAATTCCATTTGGTGTTTGGTCTTCCATCGAACTCTGCATATACTCCAGCGGCTCGTACATTCTTCGATTCGAAACTATATACAACGCATAGAGGGGAATACAATTAGGTAGGCAGTGCTGATTCAGCGATCCTTGACAAATCTTTAGAATCTTTCTTGCAGCATAGCTTCCTTCATCATGAAATTTGCTTGACTAGATGCTATTGTTCTCTTGCTCGCCTCACAACGCCGAGCGCATTCAACAGTAGCACATACCGCTTGATAGAGGCAATAAAATGAAACAGTGATCAGTTACGTTTCGAAGTGCTTGTAAATGCTAGTCACGTATGTCATGACTTGCTGCCAATCAGGTCGCTCGAGTTGACACATTTCACCGATGTTCTGTGGAAAGAATAATTTATATTACTTTCACAAGAGAGCATATTCGTAACAAAACTAGATATATTAGAACTTTTATTTAGTCGAAGTGGATCTTGGTGCTTAATCATATTTTTATGTAAATTTAAAATTTTTTAATTCCATAATTTGTGCGCTGATTTGATTGTTGGATTTGTATTTAAACATTTACGTAAAAATATTTTTAAAATTTGCAAAAAACTTTAACGAATAAAAATTTTTTTCTCTTATTCACTTATCGGTCTATCTATTAACTTATTAATTAGATGTATAATTGTAAGATTGAAATATGATATCTTATAAATTATTTTAATGCGTTATCATATTATTATCATATTATATGTTTATGTATATCTTTATGCGTTCAAGAATAATTTGTTAGTTAAATTACCAAAGTAGTTGGTATGCCAACACTCTCGGCAGCAGAGAAGGCGATCGAGAAGTTCCGTCGCTTTTCGACTGGCGTCAACGTGTCGTACGGTACCTTTCGTGGCAAATAGGAATGCAGAATCGCGCACAACGCTAGGCCATCATTCCAGGAACTGCTGAAATTAGTTATATCAATATTACGATAGCCTATTGTTTTATTTTGACACCACTTGAGCAAGGCGTTGCGCTTGGATCCACCATTCTTGACTAAGCCACAAAGAGGATCTTTACGCTCCGACAGATCGGTGACACTATTTCGACGTACGAAGTCGATCGCCTTGGCATTCAAAGCGGCTGAATCCAACAGCTCACCCGGACTCAAAACCACAGGCGTTGACTTTGTCTCTGCGCGTCAACAATCAAAGCATACGATTAGGTATCAAGAATCTCCCATTCTAAAATGCATGATTATCTTTATATGATTATCTCTTATCGTGCAAACATGTTAAATTTGCAAGATTTTTACTGATAATTACCTGACACTGGTTTCTTTGTAATTGTAGATTGCGTTTTGTTGTTATTTGTCGAATTCGCCGTGCAGATTAAATTGTTGATTTGTTGTTGATCCCTGAGCGGAGCTTTCAAAGATATGATATCTGTAGTTCCAATAGAATTTAGAGACGACGTAGAACTGCTACGACTTCCAGGTCCTAAAATCAGTTATTTTCAAAATATATTAATTCGATAAAATTAAATATTTTATTTTATATCACAATTTCAGGTGAAGTGTCGTGGACAATGTATAATGACAATTATTTATCCCTAAAATTGTATGATCATTTACCGGCTTTAGCTTGTTTCGTGGCATTTTCGATGCTCTCGATCAAACACTTTACAGAAAGCCTGGAGTCCTGACGCGAAATGTTCGCTTTCCTACGAGCAGCTATTTCTTGTTGCACACTCGTTAGCACGGATTGTTGAGTCTCCGTTGGTGTGCTGGCCGGCCTTGTAGGCGGTTGTTGTATCACTTTTTGGTTTGCTGAAAGAATTTCCAAGTACTCATTACAGCATTCAGCAAATACAAATAATTCCTCGGACAAATGATAAGAAAG